ATCAAGCTAGACAAATTATTTCACTTTTTCATTTCATATCCAAACGAAGCCAATTCCCACAAAAGTATTTATTTGAAGTCCATTAAATGTTTGTTTCTTTTAATTTGCTAATATGTAAATAAAGAAAAGAAAAATCCAGCAAAGTCTATAAGAGGAGACCATAAGAGGGGGAAAAAGAGACCTTCACTGGGTCTTTATACAAAGATGATGTATCTAAGGGGGGAAGCAGACGACGGCGTCGGGGACGGCGCAGGACGGTGCACCGCTGGAGCAAGGCAGCCGCACCGCAGCGCACCGTTGGCGCCTCTGAAAGGAGCACTAAATCAGCGCTCCTTTCAGAAGTCAGGGAAAGTGCGCCCTAAACACGTAGGGCACACTTTCCCTGACTTTTCCACTGCAGCATTTGCGGACACTGCGGCGGGAGGTTGCCCTCAGTGCGCCGGCTGTGTGCAGGGCAGGCAGCTCCGAGGGCAACCTTGGGAGGAGGAAGGGGCGCAGATCGTGTGGCTGCCCCTCTTCTTCCCTGCCTCAGAGACGACTCTATTAGTTGTCTGCCGAGGCCCTAAGACCAACAGACTCTTCTTCACACTGGGAATCCCCTTGCTCAACTTAAGCCAGATATCCCCACAAAGAAGGGTTGTTCATTTTTACCAATTTAGGGCTCCTCTATTTGCTCTCTCTCTCTCTGTCTCCAAAACTTAAGCTTTCTGTTTCAATGGTAATCAAAAGTGCTTATTCTCTTTGCTCTTGTTTTTCAAGACTACAACTCCCAGCGGGATCCTCTTCAATTGCTGCTCCAATGCACTTCTGGATAGCCGCATCCTGGAAATAGTCATTCCCAAAGAAACAGCAGAGTTTCACACAAGTAGCCACATTCAAGATAGTGGGGTTGTTGCAATCCGATAGTTCAAATCAAATTAAATTGAATTGTACTGAATTATGCTGTTAGTCTTAACTCACTAAAACTGATATAGTTCTTTTATCTTATTAATTGTTGATTTCTGCTTCCCCCTATTGAGTCCAGCAAACCAAATGTACTATTGGGTTTTGAAAGAGCATTCAATCAGTTTCAGTCACAATCAAAAGAAAACTCCATTCTACTTCAAATATTGCTGAACAAACAAATTAAAACATCTCTAAAAAATTGGTGGTGTTCCTGGCTGGTCCTGGGCAGTTAACTCAGTGTGGCTGGGTAGCTTCTTGATAACCTTTGTTTCTCCACAGACCTCCCCAAAAAAGAGACAAACAATTTTCTTCTATCTTATATTGAAGCCCCCTCCTTGCCAGGGAGGTAATTTAACTGCCTAAAACAACATTTAAACCACATTAGATGGGAAGTCCTGGGATTCTCCAGACTTCATAAGACAACCCAGTGGTCCACCATAATGAACCGGAAGGAGCTTTCCAATTCTGAAAAATGGCCACCAAAACAAGTTAAGGGACCTGTGTTGTAGCAGGACTGGACTCAGTTGGTGGTTTGGGGTGGAAAGCAGTGTGATAGGACCAGGATGCAGCCCAAATTAGACTTCAATTCGAGAGGGGTTAGTTACTTTTTAAAACATGCAATAACCTCCTAAATGTCACTGAACTAGATATATAGTTCTCTTAATACAGGCTTTCTGAGTTTATACTACTGGATTTTTTAGCTACTTCTCCAACAATAGCTTCTAAATGAAGAGGAACTCTGCCCATGCTAAATAGGAGTCCAGCTCTAGCAAAGTTCACATTCAGCTTGGAGCACTTAAGAGAGGAACAACAGTAAAAACCCAAGGTGCTTTGCTACCCTTACACAGAAGATCCATCAGCCACCCTTACAGCAACATATAAGATTTTCACATTTTTTTTATTATAACCTTGACCCTGCTGGTGAGGGATTCTGGGACTGTACTCCATTAAAGTAAGATGGCTTTCCATGCTGAAAGGGTCTCTGTCCTGAATAAAGTTTAAAGAACACTGTTCTCAGGGGAAGCTATAACACATGAAAAGCAAGAAGAGTTGTGGCACTTGAACTACATAACCCAAAATATGCAAATGAAACAAAGTCAAGAACAATAATCTATCGGAGTCTGAATTATGAAAGATTTTGGCAACCCATTCAAAGGACAAGAATTTCTATAGCAACAACAACAAAGAGTAAACCTTAATAATTTAAAATGATATCAAAAATGACTGGAAATAAAATATAATGTGGCGTAGTGGTTTAAGCGTTGGACTACAACTCTGGAGACCGGGGTTCAATTCCCTGCTCAGCCATAAAACTTACTGGGTGACCATGGGAAAAATCACACGTTCTCATCCTCAGAGGAGGACAATGGCAACCTTCTTTGAACGAATCTTGCCAAGAAAATCCTATAAGTTTTCTTGAGAGTCAATAAGTTTCTTATCAGTATCACAAAATCTATAACAACTTTTCTCTCTCTCTCTCTCTCTCTCTCTCTTTGTAGTGTGTCTGTACTTTCAAGTAATTAACAAGACAGCAGTAGCTTTGTTTGAATTTTGGTTGAACTTTAGAGAAAACCAATGAATAAGCTAGCTGCTGTGACAAAATATAACTGCACAGGCATAGAACTAAAGCAGACTGGACAACTTTATGTTCAGAACTTTCAAGTCTTTAGTTATATACTTACATATTAGAGACTTGTGTGAGTGGCTATATTCTTACAGCATGAGATGTGGATTTTTGAAGAAGCATATTTACAAATCATTTTCTTCATAGCTTGCTTGATTATAACTATACTGAAGCAGGATAAAAGGTTTCTGTAAAACTGTATATTGCTTCATATATAAGCCTTGTAAAGGGTAATGTATATGAATAACAGCTGTGAGACTATGATTCTATAAAGCTTCTTTTATTATTCAGTATTATTCAGTAGAAGCTAGACAGGTGTCTCTCCTCAGGAAAGTACATTTGGGCCAGGGGAAAACAGTTAGTGATCCTTAAGTTAAGGCAAGGGTGGAAATCAGATGCTTTCAGACTGCAGCTCTTAACATTTCACATCTGAGGAAGTCAACCACGTCTATGAAAGCTTATGCTGTTGGGGCATGCAGACAGCGTGATCTAGCATACACACATATAGAGTAGATGCACGTAGGCAGGAATGCCCAGAAGCTGGTCTTCTGTTAAGAGTCTGCTCCAGACAGCAAAGGAAAAAAACCTCCCACATGCAGCTGCTGCTTTCAGCTTGGAGAAAGAAATAGCTTCACAGTGAGGCTTCTCTCAGAGAGGGCTTTAATCTTTGTTGCAAATATTTACAAAGATACCCAGAGTACCAGACGTCCATCTTGAATACTCACAGCTATACAGAGTAACAAAGGGCTTCACCAACCACAACTAACCAAACAACGGAGATTCTGACTCTCTCCCATATATAGGTGGTCCTCTTGAGAACATGTGACAGCCATGCACTAACGAAACCTGACTGGTTTTATCCCCAGTGCCTGTTGAATCAGACCTCCTATGATGCATACCTGGCTGGTCTCATCCACTCTGCATGTTGCACCAGGCTTCCCATGATGCACAACTTACCAAATGCTGACTCATGCACCTGCCACTTGAAACAGTAGTAACCCTTCTACTATTGCTCCAGTTCCTTTCAGTGGCCACATCCATGTCATTTTCCAGACCAGGGTGCCACGTGTTCTTGACATCTGATACAACTTCTTTCAGTTAGGAGCCTCTCACACTAATTTATAAACCAGCTTACTGAGCCAGCTTAAAATTAGAAGCAGGTGGCAGATGCATTTAGCTTTTGAAATCATCCCCTGGCTTCATCCCAGCTCCATCACTGCTTTTTTTTAAGATGGGGGTTTTCAGCTTGAAATAAATGGCTGTCGGAGCACCCCTCAGAGCAATGATGGAACCAGCCTGCAGCTTGGCAGAGATTTTGGTGGCTAAATGTGTCTGATACTACCAGGATGCCACGTGCTTTTAATTTTAAACTGGCTCAGATAAACTGGTTTATAAATTAGTGCAATAATCTTCTTAGTCTCAAGGATGCTACAAGTTCCATTTGCATACTAATATTCCAGACTAACAGGGCTATGCCTCTGAATTCATTGACTAAATAGGGCTGCTGGGAGTCAAAGTCCAATCTGGAGGGCTACATGACCTCCAGCCATGGGTTAAGATAATGGGCAGGAAGAGATCCATTTTACCCCAAACAAATTAAAATGCAAAAACTGGTAATGTTATATGATTCCAATGTGTAAATGATGGAGATTTCACTATCTGAAAATTGCAGTCTTCTTCCATCCACAGAAAATGCTTTTGTTCAAGTGGTGAAGAAAGAAATGGGATGACTTTTGTTGATTGCTTCTCCTATTGGCCTCCCAGCATCACCTTCCATGCTGCTCTAGAGTGAAGCTTTGTAGTGTGCAAGGAACTGTAGTGGGATGAAGGAATATATCTCCCAAATGGAAATCCATTTAGGAAATGTTTTCACTAGTGGGCAATGGTGGTTAGTGGCTTCAGTGTTAGTGTGATGATAACCTGCTCTAGGTTTTAGTTCAAATTTTATATGAGTGTTCCAAGGTACTGAGCTTAATGGGGGATTAGTTTTCAACACTCTAGATAGCTCTTTTCAAATTCAGTCTAATACATGGAATAGATTCACCACCCTATAGAGATGGAAGATACTAGCTGCTTTCTACCCCATGGTAAAAAATTACCCATTATATAGCCTGTTGTACATTTTAGACAAGGCAAATCATTCACTTCTGGTTGCTGTTGTTGAAGAAGAGGAAGAGAAAGAGAAAGAAGAGGAAGTAGTTTAAAAATAATATGTTGTTTAAGAAAGTTAGTAATGTGGGTGCAATAATGTGAGTATTTACAGGAGTATAGTTGTCAGTGCCAACTAGGAACAAAGTACAAATAACAAAATAAAATCAATATATATATATTGCCAACAAATACCAAGAAATGTCTGCATTATGAAGTGGTCAGTGAAAAAGTGCTGTGAGGAATGTATCAGTTCCTCTTGAGCTGTCCGTCTCCATCAGATCAATAGCCCTTCCAAGCATAGGACATTCGAGCTTTCAGCTTGAGAAATTGAAGTTCTCAAAATAAGTCAGGGTTGCAACACAAGTCCATCATTGTGCGTCATAGAAATGAAATGAGTTGTCTCCTGTTTGATTGATGAGTGACATAAAATGCAGAGAAATAAATGAGACTTCGTCTCCTCCTTTAAGTTGGTGGAATATTTCTGTCAGAAGGTTTACACTGAGGGCTCCATTCTTTACTTTATAGTTCTGCATGAGTCCAGACACCAATAATACCGAAAAAAAGGAGGAGGGGGCATATTGGTGGGAGCAGAGAAATGGGCAGGAAAGGCCTCAAGGAATCACTTACTCATGTTATAGAATACATATTTGAGAAAAATTAAGCCTGTTAGTACCAGCTTTTCTAGAAATCATAGAAATGATACAAAGTCACACAAAATGGGCCTACATGATAGCATACATGTATCTCTTTGTTTATTTTTAACTTATATATCCATCATTCTTCTCAAAGATGATTTCAAAGCAGTATACTTAAATAAAAATGAAATGCAACTTAAAATCTAACTGAATTATGAAAATTCAAACTGTGGTAACCAACTAGAGCAGGGGTCAGTAACCTATGGCCTGTGGGCCGGGTTCGCCCCCCCAAGGCCTTTGGACGGGCCCCTGCCGACCCCCACCACCACCAACGATGATGATGACAACCCCCACCATCACTGCACATGTCTTGGCAGCCATTTTGTTTTCCAAAATGGCAGCTGTGACTTGTTTGCACATGCACAGTACACCTGTGCATGCATACTGCAAATGCGCAAACGAGTTGCCACCACCATTTTGGAAAACAAAATGGCGGGTGCGATGCGCATGGCGGCAGCACAGCGGCGGGGGCCGCACACACGTGTGAGCAGGTGCACCACCATGTTCCCCCCTCCCCTTGGCCCGCGAAAGACCTGGAGGCCAGCAGACTGGCCCCAGGTAAGAAAAACTTGCCGACCCCTGAACCAGAGCATGTGTGGTGTAGTGGTTTGAGAATAGGACTAGGACTCTGTAGACCAAGGTTTGAATTCCTGCTCAGCCATGGAAACCCACAGGGTGACTTTACGCAAGTCACACACTCTCAGCTTCAGAAGGGGGCAAAGCCCAAGCCCCTCTGAACATATCTTGCCAAGAAAACCAAGTGATAAACATGCCTTAGGGTTGCCATAAGAAACAACCTGAAGGCACACAGCAACAACAATCAGCATATAAAAAAATACTAATTTAAATAATAAAAAAATATTATTTGGTAAAATATACATTGTATCATTTTTGAAAAACCTTGTGCAGCTAAAAAGCCATCACAAGGAAGACTCTCTCTTCTGTAAGTGCAAAGTTTTAAAAGAATAAATCTTCTTTTAACTATTTGTGTCCTGCAGTCTGACAGGTAAGTATCATGAGTTGCCACTATGAACACTATCTGTATCAGAAATGTAATTAATATTTGTGTTGATAAGAAAGGGTGTTATGTGAAACCTCAACAACAAAAATGTCATTTTTTTTCATGAGCTTCAAGTTTTGCCTAAAATTATTTTTTGTATGAATGTTTTTCCCCCCACAAAAAATCCAGAAAGGTGAAGGTTTTTGTTGTATGGGGTTTTAAACTGATGTAAGCCGCTTAGATTGTCTTCATTTAAGCAGGGTATAAATAAGTTTTATTATTATTTATAAATAAATTTTATTTATTATTATTATTATTATAAGGTTTTTGAAAAATATTCAAAATTCTTCTACACTTGCCCAATTGGAATAATTTGAAATTATGTTCTTCCATGAAATATTTAAATAAGTTGGTTTATGTCCTTAACCAGAATACTCAGGATATAATTTTGGATAAAATCTCTTGCATAAACCCAGATCAGAGTACATACAAGAAGGTAAATTAATGAAGAGTTTAATAAATTCACACATAAATATAAAGATGAAGGTCATGAATTAGCACTGCAGGCTTCTCATTCCTTGAGATTCAAAGGCCAAATCCTGAGACTTCAATTTGACCTGTTATGTTGTCACAGGAGCCAGATCTTGCATAGCTATTGAAAAATGAGATTCATATGTGGGCAGGCATGAAAATAAAATGGGCTATCTTGCTTTCCTGTATTATCTACTTAACAAATATCATGTTAACCTGCATCCAAGCTTTTTCAAGGACCATCTTCTCTGTATCAACCTCCCTCTGTCCTGCCATCGATCCACCATTCTTAAAGGCACATCTGGTA